TAATGCTGGTTGTTGCTGGAGAGACTTCTGTAGTTGTCCGCCAAATAAAGAACGAAGAATCAGGTCCTACAAAGTAAAATCAAGTCACCAGCACTGAAAAATACTGTTGCTTTTATGGAAGATAATCCTAGAATTTCTAACAGGTATAGGTATATATGTTACTCTTTTCTTTTCTTTATTTTTTTTGCATTATTCATCAAAATACTCTTACAGGCTTTTCAAAGCTACCTGTTCCTAAAAAGCAACATAGAATCATACCTACAGCTCACACCAACAAGTTTTAAAATGCAGTTAGGAGCATTCATATAGGTTATACTGTCTTTATTCATTACTCAGATATGATTGTTCATGTTTAGTTGTCAGGTTATCACAGATCAAATTCATATGAAGGAACATAAATGCAAGATGTATGTTTAAACTGTTATGATGACCAACATGTCTTTGCTTTCAAAAATAAACTGGAGAGCTTTTTAAAAATTCTTTTATGAAGATAGCAAGAAGGATGAATCTAGTTTTAAAACAGCTAATTAAAAATAATTAAACAGGAATTACTTCTGTATTTTCAAATACAGAACTACAGATCTCCCAGATGATTTGTAAGAGAGAATTTTATGTTTTCTCTTGCATTTAAAGTGTAAGAATATAGAACTTAGACAAAAGTTGTGACATAAAGTGCAGAACTTCTAAGCAAGTTTAAGTGCGAATAACTATCACCAAAATGTACTCACTCATATTGAAGAACTCCAAGTAAAAACTTCACGCAGTTATAATAAAATTCTTGGAAGTTGCACACATCTTCAGGATGTATGGAAACATTAAAAAAACCCACACATCTTTGTAAATGGATATATAAACGCCGGTATCTGCTGGCTTTACTGTCTTGTTTATTCAAATTAATATGTCAGTCAAGTTTGAAGGGAGGAAAAAAAAAACCCAAACGCTTCCTATCTTGAGATGGCACAGCATTCTCTCAAGCGTAATGCTCATACAGTTCAGCAAAAATACATCCAAATCATAATACCTGAATACAGACACCTTTTCCCCCCTAAAGTTTCATAATGTAATTTTCTTCCCCTATTTTTCATTTATATCAATAAGCTTTTAAAATCATGCACACTTTTAAAATAAAAGCACACTGTCAGAAAAGTTGATGAAACTTGCTATGTTTTTCTGTTTACCCAGATGAGCAATCTCACACAGTAATACAAGAGCTCGGAGAGGAAGCTATCTAGACTGAGTGATGAAAAACCTGTGCAAGCATTTGTGAAATGATATTTAGCATTCAGCAGGGAAAACTTTTAACTCTCCAGATGGTGTGCAGAGTCTTCACAAGCCATTGTGAACAAAACATTATAAGTCCTTGAAACAAGAGTTCCTAGAAGGAAAAAGAAATCTAATTTGTTTCATGGTCAGTGAATACAGAAATACATCCTGATGTTTCCGTGTGCAAAATTTTAAGGTTTTGATTCTGAAAGGACTTTGAGGAGGCTTCCCAAATCTCTTCAACAGTCAATCCAGATCATTTGAAAGATTAGATTTTATTGTACAAAAGTGCTGTAACGCTCTTTGAAGTGAAAGGCAAGCTTTGGACTCCTATCACTTAAGAAAATCAGACATAAAAGGTCTTTCCCACTAGGTCTGCCAGGCAAACTATAGGGCATGTTCTTTTCACTTTACTGAAACAAGGTAAAATAAAGACAGACAGAAAGATGGAATAATAAGAAAAAGTTACTGTCCCATTTACATCTGATAGCACATTCTCAAGAAAATAAAAGGTGTCTGCCTACCTCATCTCCCATCACAGTCTGTCTGCTAAAATAGCACCAAAACACTGGAGAGGAGGAGGGAGGGTATTAATGGTGATTCCAGCACTGCTCTCTCATTTATACTTCATGTACTGCAGAGTCACACATCAGCTGTGGAAGAAGCCTCTCTACCAGCGAGTAGTTGTTTCTACAATATCTCTCCAATCCTTGGTAACTTGTCTTCGAGCAACTCAAAAATGGAATTTCATGTCCTAGAGCACTTTCTTTTCATAATACTCTGCTTTAAATCCAACAGGAAGCTACACCAGATCATGTTTCATTAATTCCTCATACACTTATTTTAAAAGTGTTTATTCTGTGATTCTAGTGATGATTACAGCCAAATATTTACATTCATATTCTTGCTTTTACTATCAAACTCACATTTTATACTGTTTTCTGTCATTCTAAATGAACCTTTCTAGAGTTAACTGGGAGGAAAATTATTTCATTCATAAATATTTCAGGTATTTCTACTATTCTATCTTTTTCTTGATACCAAAATTCAGTTATTGATATAAAACTTGTCCAGAACTTCAGTATTCTGGACATTAGAGCACTCACCCAAGCATAGGTAAATCAAATGTCAATCATTTATGACAACGCAAACCAATCTGGATTAGATCTCTCCTCTACCTCAGGAAAGCCTTACAAAACAGGCTATTTTATTCATCACTCTATCACAGAAACCTGATACATTCTTTCCAGTTAAGCTTTTAAAACACAGCAGAGACTGCCAAAGTTTCAGTTTTTAATGCACTTTTAAAAAATAAAAAATAAAAATTAAAGCAATCTCGAACTATTTAGCATAAATAAATATATAGGTAAGTCTGGAGCAATCCTAGTTCTAAAATAAAAATTAAAGCAATCTCGAACTATTTGGCATAAATAAATATATAAGTAAGTCTGGAGCAACCCTAGTTCTTCCTGCTTAGCCAAAAAAGTATAGCAAGAGTTGGATGAGGAAAAAAAATAATGAACTATATCAGTATCCTGAGTGCTCAAAACTGGAAAATAATCATAGAATCACAGAATGTCAGGGGTTGGAAGGGACCTTGAAAGATCATCTAGTCCAACCCCCTGTCAGAGCAGGATCCCCTAGGACAGCCACACAGGAACGCGTCCAGGCGGGTTTGAAAGTCTCCAGAGCAGGAGACTCCACAAACTCTCTGGGCAGCCTGTGCCAGTGCTATGTTACCCTCACAGTGAAGAAGTTTCTCCTCATGTTGAGGTGGAACTTCCTGTGTTCTAACTTAAATCCATTATTTCTTGTTCAAATGCTAGGCACCACTGAGAAGAGATTGTTTCATTCCTCTTGACACCCACTTCTCAGATATTTATGTATGTTAGTAAGTCCCCTCTCAGCCGTCTCCTTTCAAGGCTAAACAGCCCCAGTTCTCTCAGTCTCTCTTCACAGGAGAGATGTTCAAGTCCGTTAATCATCCTCGTAGCTCTCCGTTCGACTCTCTCCAGTAAGTCCCTGTCTCTCTTGAACTGCGGAGCCCAAAACTGGACACAGTATTCCAGGTGTGGTCTCACCAGGGCAGAGTGGAGGGGGAGGAAAACCTCCCTAGACCTGCTGGACACACTTTTCTTAATGTGCCCCAGGATCCCATTGGCCCTCTTGGCCACAAGGGCACATTGCTGTCCCATGGACAGCTTACTGTCCACTGAGACTCCAAGGTCTAATAATGAAGCAGAAAAAAAATGAGTTCATTTGCACTCAAAAGTTACTTTAATTTAATTGAGAAAGATTTAGCTCAAACCAGCTGAAGATTTTAAGCAAACTAAGTAAGTGTACCTGGCTCACATATATCCTTTTTCAGTCCTTACTTAAACTCATTGCTTCCTAGGAACATGCTAAAGCAGATCATGCCACATAAGACCAGCTAGGAATAAAAAACCAAACCTCGCCCTCCAAAAAAACCAAAAAGCCAACAAGAAAGGAGTTGAATTAATAATCTAGTTTGGAGAAGATTAGTCTTCTTAGAAGATTTAGCCAGAAATTTAGTAACTAGAAAGGAATTCTATCACCCTGAAAGGGGAATGATACAAACAGAAAAAGCACCATAATTGTTAGTTTCAGTGTGGTGACTACATGGGTTGATCCCTCTTTTCTTTATACAGTATCAAAAATAGGAAGAAATGTTATGGCAATTAAAAATAACTTAAACCATTCGAAAAGATGCAATGCTTATTTCAAGAAATTTAAGAGCTACACTGTGCTCAGACTAAGGAGAAGTAGTCATGGTTCTATCAGAGGAATGAAGACTCCCTGTACTTGCTGTCAAGGACTGGTAATAGCTACAAAATCACTGTCTTGCACAGCTGTGTTTTCTTACTAAGGGCCTCAGAACCAGCTCACTGACCTGAGGAAAGTTGCCTCGTATTCTTAGGACCTGTGTACTTCGAGGAGTCTTTGACAACAAAGATTAATCAAGTGACAAAGGAAGTAATCTCAGTTAACAAAGTATTAACAAAATTCAACTTAGAAGTACATAGCTATCTAAAAAGCAGAAATTACTTCCTGCAAGTCATGAATTGAGAGTTTTCCCCCTCCTTGACTGGCTTTTTTTTTAATGTACACTGCCATCAATCTACCAAAAAAGTGTGATGCAACAAGCATGCAGCTACCAAACATGAAATTGAGACCAAAACTGACAGAGGAGTAGCTCCTTATTGTGGCGGCTCTGCTTCACTGATTGTTAGAAGGAAAGCTGGGCTTGCTTCTCCTCCAGGTTACAAGTATTTGAAGACTTTAGAATGCATTTATGTTTCTTGTAAAAAATGCACACATATAAAGTAAAACTTATTCTGACAGGTACTAGAAGAGGAAAGGCTGGATAGTTAAGAGCTTTTATGTAGGAAAGATGAAAATATTTACATCTACACCTGCACAAACTAGTCGCAAGTTGAGATTTTCTGTAGCATTATTTCTGTTACTGTTTTAAGAATTTATTCCTATAGCAGCCCAGTGCATTCCAGTTGCTATTAACCATATAGTTTTGATACAGGTCAGTAAAACAGAATAAAAGAAATAGCAAAAGATTGTGGTCCTGAATCTTCTTGTAACTTTTCTTGGAGCAATGTAATTCCATTGAATTCAGTCAGTATTTCAACAAGAAATACAGAGTCCAACTTTTTGGGTTTTTTCCCCCTCAGTGTCTGGAACTTAAATGTTGTTGAACCATTTACCCTTCCAGGGACCAGTCCGGAGACCAATCAGGAGATCGATGATGGGAATGTTCAGGTGATGATGTTCTGAAGGTAGAGCTTAACTGATAGGAGATTGTACGATTCTGGCGTCGGAGCTCCCGTACAGCATGTTCCCTAAATAAACATTATTTTACAGTAAGCTAAGCACTTTTCAAAAATCATCAAAATGATCCCATAGTCATTATAATTTTTTTTCTCCTTAAGATAGTCAGCATTTTAATTTTAGTTTAGTTTAAAACTAAATGTGTTCACAATACACTTCTCTGAAAGACAGGTTAGTGACTCCCCTACTCAGAATTAGTTCTACATATCAACTGTCTCTACGTTCTCTAAAAGATAGAAGCTAGACACGGTTGCTGCAGGTCAAACTCTCAAAATTGTAAAAATCTCCAGGGAGGAAGGGCCTAATTTTAAGGTTATTCACAAGTCTGCAATATAAGGACAATCACTAAAATCAGCAATTATATCAATGTTAAGGACAGTGTTATTAGCAGTATTCTTGTGCTGTTTGAGTTGGGAAAGCCAGCGGACTAGTATTGATCTGACTTGCCCTGAAACTTCTGGATGGTTGAGAGATGCAGGACTCCTCGGTAGGCAAGTTGTAAAATTGTAGTCAAGTCACTTTGTCTGCAAGGGACGAGGCCTCCATACTGGATCCATCTGTAACTCCTGCACCTGGGTTTACGGGGAGGAGGTACATGGGACTGGATAATACATTAGAATATTTTTACGTACTCCTCTGTGATCCTGGTTTCAGGCTGCCAGTTGTTTCCATAAGGAGAATCTAGCCCGGGTTGGATTGGGAAACTACAGCAAAGGGTGGCTACAGCAACCCCGGAGTTTCAGCATATAACTCCAGTAAAAGCTGGACAATGATTCGTTATAAATGAATGGGTGTTTCGGGAGGACACCGCTGACCCAGGCTGGAAAAAAGGACTCCGAGTTGCCTGAAATCTTGCAAATGAAGGCAAAACAAGGGCTGCCTGTATGGTATTGACCTCAAACTTGACCTCGCTGTGGCTTAGCCATTATCACAGGCCTACTTATGGAGTGGAACACAGAAGCAGATTGCCCAAACCCACAGGAGAGCTGTCAGACCCAGCACCAGCTCACGGAGCTGAAGCTACAGGCAGGGAGAGGGCTCACTCTTGCAGCAGGAGCCCACTGAGACAGTAACTGTTTTCCACCTAGTTACCAGCATCCCACAACCTTGTGCCTGGGAAGCTATCATATGCACCACAAAGATGATGGAACCAGATTTATCTACGTTGACTGCTAGTCTTACAAGCCTTAATGCTTTTAAGGGCTTCACTGTGCACATGCTGTAAAGTCTTTAATGATCAAACTGGTGCTGGCAATGGTGGGAAAGCAGAGTGGAGCTGCTTGCACTTCTCACAGGTAACAAAGCCCTGTCAAACTCCAAGTTCAGTGTCAATGTAGCAAAACTGTGACCAGTGCAAAAAAGTAACTATGGGCAAGTTTTTTATTTGGGAGGAGACTAGGGCAGAGAAAGGGAGGTACAAAGGCAGCAAAGTGGAGAGTCAGGAAACAGAAATGGATAAAAAGAGATGCAAGTCATGCAGTAGAGGTACCCGACAGTCAGAGCCTGTGCTAGGTCACCAAAAACAGAACAGGACAATAAATCAAATCTGTTTTTTCCATGCGTCCAAACTGCTTCTGCAGTCAGGAGGATGGGAGGGATGGGGAGGTACTTTTCCTAACTGGTTAAAAAAACCCCAAAGGGATGGGTTAAGCCTCCAGCTATCACTGTGTTAGTGCTCATTCAAGGCCTGACAGTGCTGGCACTTCCACCTCCTAATTGCAGGCATTATTCCATTCTGCACCAAGGCAGTAAATCAATACAACTAGCTAAAAGTCAGTGTTAGAACAAGGATACCATCTACTTACTTGTTTAACCTGACAACAAGAATAAAGGAAAATCCCAGTCAGTACTGTCAGCTGCTGCTTCCATTCTATACTACTACAACACCAACTTTAGTGATAGCATTTTTCCTCTCTGGCTGTTTTTCTGGGTTTCACTTACCAGTACCAGAAAAATAGACTGGCTGTAAGAAACCAGCTTGGAGCTTTAATCTCTTACCCTGCAAGCAATAGAGATCAATACCTGCTCTTGTAAAGCATAACTTTCTGAGGAAAAATAGAAAAGAAATAAAATCCTTGTAACCTTTGCAGGACATTGAAGGGACGCTGTCTTGATTTTCTGAAAAAGCAACAAAAAGACCCCAAATCTCTAGCCTTTCAAAGATAGCTAAATCTAATGTCAGCCTCAGATTTTTACATGAGAACATTTCAGTCTTTGCTATCTAACATTTCTGCATATTGTTTTTCAACGGATTTACAAACTGCGTAATGGAACCTAGCTTTATTCTTTCCAAAACAATTCAGAAGTAGAAGAGAAATTTTCTTCAAGAATGAAAACTGGTGATTGTTGCCTCAGCATAGGCTCACTCTAAATACCAACTGGAAACTAGGTTTTGATATTACTGCAACTACAAACAGTCATGTGAGTGACAAATTATCCTTAACTAGAAGAAGACATTAAGTATGGGCCAAAATAATTCCAGAATGTGTACTAACAATTAAACTGCATGGACAAGCACATGGTTGTGTGGACCCCTTAAGTCAATGCTCTGATCTGGTTTAGTTCAACTAGCGCAGTTCTTGCGAAAAGTTAGCCGTTCATATCACTGAATATAGCTAGTGTATAAATCACTTTTTCAACCAACCAGCTGCCTATTTCGTCATTATAGATAAATTCAAGAGAGACATCACTACAAATAAGTGAAGACAGGTGAGCCTTTTCAGGACAGTGATCAATCCCATCCTAAACCAGGCAATTCTAGAGGACAGTTTATCTCATTGTCTCATTCCATTGGCTATAAAGGGAATCCAGACAACTGTTTAGACAACATGTACAACAGCTACACAGGCTGCAATCATTGACATGGATAGGCTCTGAACACACAGGAGATGTACAGCAGAGCAAAACCAAACTCCGTTGTTTATCCTACTAATTAGTCTAAGTCTTAGTATGATATTGCATTTCACCCCAATTAGACGCAGGAAGCTCAATACAAACACACACACTTGCCTTTCAAAGCGCTCGGTCTCCAGCTGTCTTTTGGTGATATCCAGTTCCAACTCTAGCTGAGCTGCTCTGTTTCTGAGCTGTGAAAAATCTCGACTCTGCACAGCACTGAAAAGTCCATACACTTCAATTAGATAGCAACTATAATCCTCTAAATACGTTACCAAATACAATTATCCAAAATTACAAGGGCAGTTACACCATGTAGTTGTGATTAAGAACATTTTTTATAGTAAAATATAACACTACACAGAAAAATCTATTATCTATATAGCTGAGGAATCAGAAGCAGGTTTTTGTTATCTTCTGCTGTTAAGGTAGCCAATGTACATTGGCCATTTGAAAAGGCAGCTAGATAAAAAGCCATCCCTGTGTGTATACACTTGGGAAGAACGAAAAAAGTCTGCAATATTCTCCTGGTCATTTACTCACAGTTTATTTTCTGCTAAAGAAAGCTGTTCCATGAGAAACCGAATTTCAGAATCTTTTTCTTGCGTTGCTATCTGTGACTGAAGTTGTTTCTCATGATTGGATATGAGCAAAGATTCCAGGTCTTTCAGAGATGCTCTTTCATTTCCCAGTTGTTTTCTCAGCAGCTCTATTTCAGAATGGGATGATTCACACTTACTCTGTAGCTAAACAAAAATTTAAAAGTTTTAGATCTAAGTCTGTTAAGCTTGCTGGCTATGTATTATGCTAAGTGACATGTTTGGGGGTTTTTAAGGGAAGAAAATAAAAAAAGGGGGAGAAAAAAAAAGGAAGACTGGGATTAATGACCAAAATTTGCTCTCATTCCAATATGGATGATTAGTGTTGTATTTGCCTTCAGTCAAAATCCTGTGTCACATTTCTAAATTCCCCCAATGTATACAACTCGTTATAAATATATTTGATACAAACGACAAAATGCTATGAAACACATAGATCAATAGAATGTAGACAGAATCATTAAAGAAAAGGAAGTTTTACATATTGTTGAGACAAGGAACTACTGATTAACCACCTGCATGCAGGAAATGACATACGGTATAACAAAACAACATCTGCATCACCAGCAGAGTGAGATTACACTTATTTTACTTAAAGGAGCATCAAGAATAAATCTGGGAGGAAAGAGAACATTAATAAAACCGAAAGTAAGAGATTAAGTTCAGAGAAGTTCATAGGATGGCCTAGGCTGGAAGGGACCTTAGAGATCATCTAGTCCAACCTCCCTGTTTTGGGCAGGGATGCCACCTCTCGACTAGACCTGGCAACACATGGGGACCGAGCAGGAATCTATTTATTTGGAGGAACATAAAAAAGAAGAATAATCATAAACCCCAGTGTGTTCCACTGCAAACTGAACAATACATTTGTCTGAAACATAACTATACAAAAAGAAAAAAAAAACATTCTGAAGACATTATTGAGTGCGCTACAGAGACACGGAAAACTACCTGTTTTAATCTTAGCATAAATAAGCTAGGTGCTATTTTTCCTTCATTTTTTCATGTGTGCATTTAAGTATGTCTGAGTCCATTCTGGGTGCTGCAAGCACTTTTATCTGTATTTTACACAAACCTAGTTTACATTAAGCGCGATAATGCTCACCCAAAGGTCATGGTAAATCTATGAACTGAGACACCTTACAAAACACTCCACCTCGTCAGCACATTCCTCAGAATTTTCAGAGGATAATCATTTGTGTGTTAAAACGAAGAAGATATTGCAAGAATCAAGATCATAGGCAAATGTTGGGGCGGCAAGGGAGGAAAAAAATAAGAAAAAAAAAGAAAAAATAATTTTTCACTTTTCAAAGCAAAAATCAAGGTCAACAGAAATTGATTTTCAAGGGAAATTAAGGAAAGATTCTTAAAGAGATACTGATGCTTCCCAAAGGAGTCACCATTTTAAAGTCCATGTCAAGTTTCTTTGCTAATAAACTATTCTAAATATTCTGCTTACTTAGTGACTGATTATAACCAAAGATTCACTAAATAACTCCCATATATAAAAACTAGAGGAGATTTCTTGCTTCTGACAGCAAAATCAGCTACTTACCTATTAAACTCTATTCCTAAAATTCTGCTCCTTGTGCAGAACTAATAAAGTTCAAAATTGTGCCATGGCCCGCATTTCATTTTCAGATGACACGTTCTTATTTGAGCAATAAAATATATTCTTGTATGTAGATGATCAGAGAACACTGAGATAGTGTCAGCCATATTTATACTGCTGTCACCATTAACTCAGGCATGACTAAGAGATGACTGAAGTCACACTAAAAAGAAGTCCACAAGCCAGCAGCTGCAGTTCTGACTAAAAGCACTTAGAATTTTGTATATTTAAATTAACACAATCTAGTTTTTTCCTTTTTGAAAAATGCCTGTACTTTGCCCAGTGACACTTGTATTTCCAGTCACTTTTAAACACTTAATTTTCAGTGGATGGCAAAATGAGTCTGGGAAGTCAACAGAGCAAGGGGAGAGATTAAAACACTGTGACTTCCTTGAAGGATTTATTAGGAATGAGACCCGAAGAGATGATGGTAAAGGAAGCACATTACATTAATTCTAGTTCCATTTTGCCTAAAAGAAAGCACAAGGAACACAGAGCACTGCTAAGCACATTAACATGTTTAAATAAAAACTTCTGTGTTTAAATGTATGCCTTATAGACAAATTCTGACGGAATTTGTTGCCACAGTTTTCATTAAGAGGTCTGTTTATTCCTATGCTTAATAGAAGGCATGTGGGAAGGAATAAGAAGGATGAAATCTCTACCCATTTGAGGTTTGCTTGACAAACTAGGACTACATATCAGTTTTGTTATATGGTAAAAAAAAAAAAAGTAAAAATCTGTCACACAATCTTCCTGTGCTCTTTTGCTACTGTTATGTTCTCATCCACTTTCGGAACAGCAGCAGATCTGTTCCTCTTGAGTATCTAATTCCCATGGGTAGCCCTCAGTAGCCTATGGGATACTGGGGAAGCTGAGATTATCTGCAAGAAAAACTGTAACAACCCCAACCCAGAAGACAGATTATATGTTCGGAATGTATTTCCAAAGTCATGCTGTGGACTTCTCTGTAAATTCTTCAGATTTTCAAGGAGGAAGTAGGTCTCTGGGACACCTAAAGCAGTGGAAAGAAGGCTGAAAAGCTGGAAGCAAGAAAAGCAGGGACACAAAACAAGTGATCTAGCACCAGGTAGGTTTCAGGTATGCCATGGAGTTGGTGTGACATTATGCCTTCCGTCATTCCAAACACAAGATATTTATATTTTTCTTTTCTCTTTGAAATATGCTATTTTCTTAAAGCATGACTAATAGAATTCTAGCCATGTTACGAAACAAACTCAAACTCTATACAATGTAGTACATACCTCTAAAATACAAGAAGTGGCATTGAACATGATTTTGAACGGTTGCAGGCTGTTGCAGCTGCTGCCAGACCATTTCAGGGGTAAAGTATGTAAAGAATACTTTCAACTTACTTGCCCCATCTCTGTTTCAAGGGATTCCATCTTCTCTTTCAGCTTGCAGTACTCAGACTCCACACTGAGCAGTGCCTGTTTAACAGAGCTACAATCTGCTTCTGCTTGGTGGCATTTTGCTTTCCAACTTTCTCCTTGTTCACGGGCTTTGTGGTAATTCTCCAAAAGTTCACAGTTCTCTCTCTCCTAATACATAAAGCTTGATTGCTTAATAATTTACAGTAAACTTCACAAAATAGGGATATCTAAAGATCTGCAGGTATGACACGATATCAGATGTTCTCCTTTCACTGAAAATTTTGCCATTTAGCTAAAACATTGAGACATTTGTTACAAGTCAGTGTTTTGTTCAAGCTGGCCACATTTCAATGCTCAAAAGACAACTCTTAAAAACTGCTAAATTAACATTCCTAATATGAGGTATTGCAATATATTGCAGGAATATTTTTTAATCCCATATGGTAATAAAGACAGACACTTATTATTTACTGTCAGGATTTTAAAGTTTAATAAACACACGTGTGTCTATCTGTATGTTTGTATATATATGTATATAAAAACAACAATGAAATACACTTCATTATTCATGTACTGCAAAAGCAGCGAAGAAAATGTGTTCAAACTAATTATTAGGAGAGTGCAAATAAATTTTGGCTAGGAAGCAAATTCTTCAATTGAAATATGTTTAAAATTTTAAGTGAAAATAACAGCTTTTATTAACAGACTTAATTCATATACTTACTTTAGACTTCAGCACACCCTTGAGTCTGACAATATCTGTGTTTGAATCCTGGGCTTTCAACTTCATCTCATCAAGCTCATTTTGGCATTTCGTTAGTTTTTTACATAGTAGCTATGAAGAAATATTTGTTTCATGTGATTAAAGTTCACTGTTTGTACTTTCACACAAAAAATAAAATTAGTGCATATCTAATGCCTATGGTTATATTAACTCATTATTTAAAGGCTATATAAAATCCAAACCATGTATATTTCTATAATCAAAATTCTGCATTTGTCAAAAATATTTTTTCTTTGACTTACAAATAATGCTAAATCTTCTTATAAAGAAGACAAAATGTAATAAAAGACTGTAGTAATTAAGAAGAAAACCAGAGGTGGTTTATTTAGATGGCCATAACAAAATAGCCCACCCCATTTAAGAAGCAGGCCTCAGAGTCATCTCCCTCTTTGCTATGTATTCTAGTCTCTTAAAAGTCCACATTCAGAAAAGCAGAAGACAGCTAAAAAAAATTAATTATCTAATTAAGCAGTTATCTCCTAATTAGAAGAAGTAAAGACACGAGTATTAGGAGAACACACAAAGAATTTCTGGCAACTATTGCTTACAAAAGTGAACAGAATGAGGGAAAAAAGCTAGAGAAAGGCCATCTTGAACTGCTCTGTTCAGAAACCCTTCCTTAAAAAATTACTACAACATTGAAGAAATGACAATGCTACTTTAAATACTTTGAGTATCACCTAAATTAATGGAAGAACCTAGAGGACTCAATACATCTTGTAGAGGTAAGCCTATTAAAAGGTAGGTGATCTTTTTGTTTCTAACTCATTCCCCAAGCATCCAGGCACTGCCAAGAAAACCATGAAGCAAGAGGAGGCTGGATTTTGTACCAGCTGACTTCCTCAGCATCAACTGTGAATCTGTGAGAAAGTAAAGAACAGCGACTCCCTGGAATAACTTTGGCAGTTAAAGCTACTAAAAACTTCAACATTTTTTCTAAGATCCTCAAAAGAGGGCGCTAAGGAGAAGCAATTAGCATGAGAAGAGATTTTTTTAGAATGGGAACTGTCTCACCTAATTTTTGCAGTGCAGCATTAGGCACCTGATCTAAACTATTTAGCTACACTCCCTTTACAATAAAGGGAGACAGACAGGTAAAACAAATCACTTGAAGAACTAGGATGGGATGAATCTCCCTCTGGAGGACTTTTCTTCACTTAAAGAACAGCCTTCATATCTTAAAACTTTTATGCACCTAACATCAGGTGAAGTTAATTTGCTCCTTCAAAACAAGGCAGTGCTTCTAGAGGAAGAGGAAGGCAGGTAAGCAGAAAGTATTTTCAAAGACAAAGATATCCTAAGCAGTATAGTAAGTGCAGAGAAGAAAGACCAGGTATCAGAAACCCCAAATGAAGACAAGAAGTTCAATAAAAAAAACAGAAACACTACATAGTGAGGAACTGCTATAGGTATTAAGTTTAATTTCTAGCTGCTTGGAAAACATATCGATGCATGGAGATCGTGTGTGCATGAGATTACACTTCAGTTTTAAATATTTTAATTACTTTCATTAGTAACTGCATGGACAAGTAACAAAGAAGATAACGTAATGCTGTATTATAACCAAATACTTACAGCAACTTTTATCCAAAGGCTACTATAAAGGAATCTAAAAAAACCCATGATACTATTAATATAGTTTGAACCTTATTAAAATGTGTCCTGTGTTACATTACTAGCAAGTCAAATTCATAAGCTTTTAAGCGCTTTGGACCAGTCAGCACAAGAAACCCTTGTTTACAGAAACACTCCTTTAGAGTACTTTTCCATGCAAGCAATAGTTTTAACTGCCACAGTGTTTTTATATGAAGATCGGAAAAAAAACATTACTTAGGTGTTCCTCAAGATAAACATCCAAACCATTACATAAGAATAGCTGGTCCTCTTCACACAAGTGAGCTGAGCAATAAGGGAGAAATCAGAGTTTGAAAGAAGAGCCTATAAACTAGTTTGCAGATTTACTTCAGATGAAGGCCCAACAATTCCATGCAAAATACACAATTTTCCCTTTTATTCAAAAGTTCTCTGTACAAATATACCTGGCTTTCTTGCTTAATATTAGAAAGGTGCTCCTGTAACCTGTTATTCTCCTGAGCTAAAGACTCTCTGTTCTTGTTACTCTGTGCAAGTTCTTTCTTGGTTTCTTGTAGCTGTTGATGCAAACTGGAGATATCTTTCTCACAGATACAGAGTGCTTCAGTAGATTCTCTGTGCAGCAAACAACAAATAACTTCAGGTATGACAATACTGCCCAACCTAATACAAATAATAGCTTTTCCAATCATGAAACACAGCTGTGAAACTTTTAGAATTTTATAAAGTAGCAAATAAAATTATACATTAGCATATCTTATGATTCATTGTTTTAGTTAATATTATAATTTAATCAAAATTTAATACCGATCTTGATATTTTATCCTTACTTTGTGGAACGCTCCAACTCAAAAATCAGAATCTTGAAATCCAAGATTATTTTCTCCTTGAAAAGAAATAAAAATTACTATAAACCTCTCAGCACTCCTCAGTATAAATCTTCCTTTTATTCAGCTAGCTTATTAATTTAACTATTTAATTTGAAATGGACTGTGGTTTTCCAAGTTCCATCATGTACTGTTTAGAGCTGAAAATTCTGATAATCTAATTTGACAAATAAAGGAACAAATCTTCTGCAGAATATAATAACTTTAATTACATTTTTTAAATCCTTTGTGGTTCTAAAGGTAGCATTTGGCTGACACTCGTAAAACTAAATTACATCCTCTGTCCATGAGACAAATTATTACAGCTTTTCTAAAATGCATAAAATAGCAGAGTCTGGTAGTTTGTTATTGAAAAAAATCAAGAATTCTGTCACTGTATTTCCATAAAGAAGATAGCACCAAGTATATCACTTTACTCCCTTGTCTTTGAATATAGATGTTAAAAGAAGCATAGATAGTCTAAGGAAATGTCTTCCACTGGACACACAAGAGAGGCGAGAGAGAGATATCCTTATTTTCTCCAAAAGGGACACCATTTTACAATGTATAGCTTTTAAAAGGCAAAGTCAGTGCTTGCGCCAAGATGATCGTATCCTGTCCTGCAATATATTTTCTTTATGATTTTGTTTAAAATCAGTGCAAACTCTTAAGTTAACAATCACAACAGTTAAAAAGTACCTTCTTCATTTTATCCTAAATCAGCATCCAGATGACTTAAGCTGAAGTCAAAACAATGTTACAGAACTAAGAACTAAGCAGCTTCATTATACAGCTTGAAATCACACTGTGCAATAGACTGATGCAATTTTCTTAGGTAAACTAGTACCTTAAGGTGCAAAGAATATAATTCAGATGCTGCTTCAATAACAACAAAGACACTATCATCTGGCATCCTGCATCTCTAACATCAGTGAACTCCAAGGAAGAATTTAGGCTAAATTTTATCAAAAGCAAAATACTTTATTGGCTAATTTACTCTTTTCCACTTGAGGAAAGAACTTAAAGTCTCCTCTTTTGATAAGTGGAAACCATACAAAACACCAAACATGAAATGCTCAGCACTGCTCAAACCTACTGCTGTTGAAGCCAACACTGACTTTTATTGTTGCCTTGAAACTGGAGCAGAACTAGGTCACCACTGAGCACTGCTGCAGGTACCAGTACAAGCCAGGTGTGATGACCTAACAGATCATTTCCCTATTAATCTTGTGTGGCTATGTGACTATTTACTCACTAGAACATACTTTAATTGCCAAGCTTTCCTCAAAAGAAGCAATCCTGTCTCTTCCCTCTTCCACGCAGTCTTGCAAAGTCGCCTTCTCTTTATCAAGTTGTGCAACTGATTCTTTCAAAGCACAGATCTCCTCTTCTTGTGCAAGACTTTGTCTTGAAAAGTTATCTGGATACAAGCAGAAAGGTCTCATCTTTATTATTTCAACCCAAATGAAATAAAAATTCTTTTGATGGACTTCTAAAGCATAAAAGAATATGGCAAAAGCTCCCCTTCAAAAAAACACTGAAACATGTACTTTTTCAAAACACATAAATACTCCAACTAATACTTATAAAACTGCATTCTTCCTTCAATCAAAGATCATTAAAAATATATTTTTGCAATATTATAACAATAAAGGCTTAAACAGAATTACAATAGACAGAATATGTCTATGTAGACTATAGTGAGTAAAGACTGATGAAGTAAGAGTTGATATCCTGATAATAGCCACTTAAAAATTAGTCACTTAACAATAATGAAAAAAAGAAATCTACTCACTACAGAATCAAATTGTAAAAGACATCTCTCCCTATCTTTGTTCAGCTAGTAAGGTGTTACACACTACATTTACCTCTAAATGGTCAGAGAATCTATTCTTATATGATCTACACACATTGCATTCATAGAGTTGAAGCACAGAAACCCTTCTGGCAGTGAACCTTACACCTCATAAAAACTGTTCAGGTTGCAAATTACTCTTTAAATATAACTCTGTTTGGACTTATTGAATTAGACTTATTAACCACTTCCAGGAGATAAAACATCTGAAGTAAAATGATCTGTAGCTCAGTCTTTCAGAGACATCATAGCACACATTAACATTCTAATTTTTTTTCCACAGAACTTCTCCCTATTACAACTTGTAAGGTTAAAAAAAAAAAAAAAAGTGGTAATTCATCAATATTGAATTTTATTACAAAAAGTGTTTCTGTCACTCACCAATTTTTTCATCCAAAAGCGTTATTGTTTCTTGGGCAAGTTGCATTTCATATTTTTTCTTAGCAAGGCTTTGCTGAGTCTCTGAAAGACTCTTTTCTGTCTTTTCATTCAATAAACTGGAAAAGCAGAAGCATTAAACAGGAGAATTCAGATGTTTATATTTTTTTCTTTTTGAAACGTCACTAAAATTTCAGAAGTTAGCAAAAAGCAAGATTCTTCCATGTATTTTAGACTATTTGGATATTTTATTAATATTTTATTCATGTTAACTTTAATCTCTGGATATTGAAGCCCGAGTACTCCTGTAAAGTATCACAGAAAAGTAAGAAAAACCCTTTACAACAGGTTGATGTAAAAACTTTTCAAAAATTACTAAAATAAAAATCATCACTGGGGACATACATTGGAATGCCTGCCCTATTTCAAGTTATACCCAAGTCATACATTCAAAACATTTAATGATATTAATGATTCTCAAACTGTTGTAAGAAACTGAAGAGATCAGCCTGGTTTGGAGGGGGGAAAGAAAAAGATATTTTAGTAGCAGCAACTAATCTTCAACAACTCAATTTTTTACAGTGTTTGTAAATCTGACAACTTACTATAAAGCAGCAATAACTAAGTGTTGGATTTGCAAAGGAGTTCAGGTTATTTTAGAAATCACAGTATCCTTAGAAAGGTATTGTGGGCCAGCACAATATCGCACATTAGTACCCAGCACACGCACCAATCAAAATCCAACAAAAAAACCTAAAGCACCTATGTGTCAACTACAGCAGTCAGTTGTAAGGACACATAAGTTTAGGAGAGTGTTTGCCTAACAATTACATTTAAGGAAATATGAGAGGGAAAAGGTTGCAGTTTCTTTTCCTGCAGTCTCTTCACTTTGTAGCCTAGTTCAATCTATGATCTAGTCTTCTGTATCTGTGTGGATACCCGCAGAACAGGTGAACAAAGGCAAGATGTAGGGAGGTGTTAATTCAGCTCAGCTCTGTCTTGCCTTGACAGACTCTTGACTGTGATGACCCAAGGAGGGCTGTGAAAAATGACCCAGCCCTGAGTTATCCAAAACAGCAGACCAAAGACCGAAACCTGAATGGAACTAAAACCAAAATAACAAACATTCTGCCCTGAGTCTCATTTTCAACTACTCTCTATTCTTGAGATATGTTAAACTCAGCTAAATCATTTATATGCTAGATATGTTAATTTGGCTGAATAAATCATTGGTGTGCTAGCCATCACAAAATTAGTAAAACTAGTAGGGGGCACCCAGGAAAGATAAGGGGAAATCTCATCACACCACCAAAGATAAACATTCTAGATAGTCTAGTCTCCTCAGGCATACCTTTGCCCTTCCATCCCATCCTTACAGGATAAATATTGTAAGATTTTGGGTAGAATTTGGAGAAGTTTCTTCAAACAATACAGTTGGACTGTAGGAGATTCTTCCCCCCTTATTTGAGACATCAGATACTTCCCCTGGGATTGAGAATCTTTACTTGAGTGAGGGTTAGTGACCGAGACATATGTGTGGTATTTTCACATACTTATTTTATGCTTTTTAAATCTGTACTAGTACATTTCCAGGAATCACTTAGTTTTGCAAAAGTGTATCCTTTGTTTTGCTTTTTAAATTGCAATAGTGCATTCTTCCACATATCCATAAAACCTGCAGTAGTGACATATAGGACCTGTGAGTGAACTTCAAATAAATTGCTAGTTTGAACCTTGCAGTCAGGTCTACGTATTGGACCTGTGGGTGAAGTTCAAAGAGATCACTAGTTTGAACCTTGCAGTGAAGTCTCTCTCTCTAACAGTATCTCTCTGCACAAACTTGCTCTGTGATTGATCTTTCCCTCCAGTCAGCAAATTATCCTTTTTTATCTTGCACTCACTGACCTATGCTTTCTTCTTTAAAGGCTTCAGTTGAGTCTAGTCCCACTACATGCTTCTGAACATGCTGAAGTAATTCATTTGTGTAGCAGGCCGCAAACCCTACGCAGGGCTTCAGTTTTATTCTCTCTCATGAAAAAGCTTCCAGACTAAGAAGAGGGTGTTTGAAATTAACTAGACACGACACTCATTAGTTTATGCATGTTTGTTTACCTCTATAAAAACATAACGAAATGAAAAATCTGGTTTTAAATCATATGAAATTTACCAAAAAAAATCAATCCCTGCAGCAACAAAGCGAGAACGTTTATATATAAATAAGCAACGAGGAAAACAATTTCAGTCCAAAAAGAAGAACAGCTTATTAAGAACAACTAAATTCCTTTCCCCATGAGCTATATAACAGTTATGAAAACCAGAGAACAACAGGCTGACTTTATCCATCCGACTAAAGCAATTACATACTTTTACTTACCTAAGTGAAACATATTCAGCTTCCTGTCGGCTCAGCTCAGTTTCAGAGTCCAGTGCTCTTCTTGCCAATCTTTTCACCTCAGTTTCCAGAGAATCAATGGTGTCTTTCATTAGAGCCACTTCGGACATCTGTTCTAACCGTTCACTATCTAACTATAATTAAACATTAAAAGCCAAAAAAAGAAAAAAAGCTGATTTATACATAGAATTTCTCTTATTGATTCAAATTCTACTCTGTTTTTAGCATAAATCTTTTACTGAAGAAGAAATGTCCCAAGCATCTCATTTACTCCAGACCTGACTCCAAGTCTACAGAAGATAGATGGCAAAGAGATGAAATGTGATTTTCACTTCCATTGAAGGACCATCAATTTCCTGTCTTTCAGATCTCTAGGAATGTTTTAATTTATTAATCATAGAATGTTTTAGGTTGGAAAGGACCTTAGAGATCATCTAATCCAACCTCCCTGCCATGGGCAGGGTTGCCCTTAACTAGACCAGCTTGCTCAAGGCCTCAATTTGGCCTCAAACATCTCCAGGGAGGGGCATGCACAGCCTCTCTGGGCAATCCATTCCAGAGTCTTGCCACCCTCATACTGAAGAATTTCATACCAAGATCTAATCTAAATCTATTCTCTTTCAACTTAAACGCATTTCCCCTTGTCGTATCAGTGGACACTCTTGTAAAAATTCCCTCCCCAGCCTTCCTGTAGGTTCCCTTCAGGAATTGGAAGGCAGTTATAAGGTACCCCCAGAGTCTTCTCTTCTCCAGGCTGAACAATCCCAGCTCCCTCAGCCTGTCCTCACAGCAGAGATGCTCCAGCCCCTGGATCATCTTTGTGGCCCTCCTCTAAACTCATTTTGACAGATCCATATCCCTCTTATGGTGGGGACACCAGAACCGGACGCAGTATTCAAGGTGGGGTCCCACAAGAGCAAAGGGGGAGAATCACCTCTCTTGACCTGCTGACCACGCGTTTCTTGATGCATCCCAGGATGGGGTTGGCCTTCTGGGCTGCATGAACACACTGCCGACTCACATTGAGCTTCTCATTTATCAACGCCCCTAAGTCCTCTTCAGGGCTACTCACAACCCACTCTGTACTCTGTTTATGTTTGTGCCTGGGATTGGCCCGACCCAGGTGCAGGACCTTGCATTTTGACTTGTTGAAGCTCATGCAGTTTGCACTGGCCCATTTCTCAAGCCTGTCAAGGTCCCTCTGGATGGCATCTCTTCCCTCAAG